ATCACCATGGGCCAGCAAGCACCGTAAATTTAATGGGGCATCCTGTTTTTTGAAGGTGGAAAATCTTTTGCTCAAATTTATGAAAACCATATACACCAATATCCAGAGAAATGTATCCGAAGTTTTAAATTAAAAATCCGGCCGTTGAATTTTTAACGCAAAAACTATTCAAAAGTTTACGTAAACCTGTTAAAGGGGCATTCCGCCTTTTTCGTTGAACATTTTCATTATCAAAAACGTCGTAAATTATACCTGAAAAACCTGAAGGTCACGGGTTCAATCCCGGCATAGGTCGAGATGATTTTTCAACCCGGTTTACCCCTGTCAGTGATACAGGTAAGAGGGGCTGACATGGAAAAAGCGTCTAGTCATTCGGATGGGACAATAAACCGAGGCCCCGTGTGCTACAGGCTGTGCACGTTAAAGATCCCTCGACAGTTTGAAAGCGAAAAAGAGTACGCTAATGCAGCTGTCCTGGCAAAATTTCCCTCATTGTACCCTGCATGGCGTCGCAGGTCTTCATTAGTCTACATGACCTGGTGCAGAAAAGTAAGAAGTAAAACTCCATACATTTCATTTCATTTACACCTGAAAATATTTCTAAATTATTCTATTTTTATCTATGTATCTACTTGATCAAATTGAATTTGTTTTAAAAGGGTTAATTAAAAACTGAGAGTACTAATTGCTAATTAAGCATTTTAACCTAGTTTCTGTGAATGGCTATATAATGGCTGGTAATATTTAGTTGAAATCTTTAGAAAACGTAGACGACATATTTCTCTACAATTACTTTACTCAAATCCGTACAATAGTTTTCGAACGGCTTTCAAAAAGCATACTGAAGATAAAAAGGTTACCTTTTACGAAAAGTTTTGGCTGGAATTTTTTAGTTATAACTTTCAATATATCCAGTCATAATCCAGCCAAACACCAAAACTTGTCAAACTGCTTAATTAAAAATGAGTGCGCTCTGTTTTTTTTTATCCTTATGAAACAAATTCCGTTTGATCTAAACAGCATTTTAAAGAAATATTTCAGGTATAATATATGACGTTTTTGATAATTAGAATTTCGCATACTGCCACTTAGCGTTTATGGTAAAATAGAGTATAAAGGAATCTGATTGGTTGCTAATAATGATGTGATGACTTACCCTAGCTTGTTATCAGAAACATCTAATTGTTTTAATTCCCATATTTTTATTTATTTTAAAGATATCAATATCAGTCTTACAGTTAGCAAAATCGAAAATTCTAACTACTCTAGGGAATCGACTACAATCAGGTTTGACAATAGGGTTTGCTTTTGGAAGGTCAATAGAGTGTACATTTTTTCCTTTTTCAATTAAGTAAATGTATACCTAATGGGATTGTAAAGAAGTTTTCTTAGCACCAATTTGCACCATTCCAATTTTCAGCCAGATCCTGTGGTTCCTGCAATTACACAAAAAATAAGTGTTTGATCACAAACATGCTTTATCACACTTTGCGATTAGAAACGTGAATTGCAGGAACCAAAGACATCTGACTGAAAATTTGAATGGTGCAAATTCATGCTATCAGTGTCCTCGATACACATAATTTATTTTTAGAAAACATTTTTACCATCCCTTTAATTCCGAGAAGATATTTGTGTACGATATTCATTCCCTTTATGCGGTTAATACTTGCAATTATACGGTATACAGAAAAAAACTCCAAAATATTAATAAAGCATAATGTATTGGATACAAATTTCTTCTTAGTTCTAAAAGAAAACATTTTATTGTCAAATTACTATGAAATCTTTCTTTTATCAAAAATACACTGGAGTTTACGTAAACATTCTTTGTTTTGAACATCCCATTATCTGTAAATTATGGAAGCCGGCTGCGGCCATATCTACGATAAAGCGAGGAAACTCGATTTCTCGCCCATGAGAAAGAGTGGAAAAAGGCGAGGAAAAAGGCGAGGAAAAAAGGCGAGAAAAAGACTAGGAAAAAGGCGAGAAAGCGAAGGTAAAAAAAGACGAAGAAAAAGGCGAGAGAAAAGTCGAGAAAGCGAGGAAAAAGGCGATGAAAATTTTCCTCGCTTTCTCGCCTTTTCCCCCGCCTTTTGCCTCACTTTCTCGCCTTTTTCCTCGCCTTTTTTACCCTCGCTTTCTCGCCTTTTCCCTCGCCTTTTCCCTCGCCTTTTTCATCGCCTTTTCCCTCGCCTTTTTCATCGCCTTTTTCATCGCCTTTTTCATCGCATTTTTCTTCGCTTTCTCGCCTGCTTGCCTTTTTCATCGACTTTTACTCTCGCTTTCTCGCCTGTTTCCTCGCTTTTTTTACCCTCGCTTTCTCTCATTTTTCCTCGCCTTTTTTTTTACCCTTGCTTTCTCGCCTTTTCCTCACTTTGCCGTGGGCGAGAAGTCGAGGGTAAAATGGCCGCAGTCGGCTTCCATAGCACATTTTATCATTGTTTAGTTTTCTTTGAGAGTCGGGCAAGTGGAATAAATTGTATAACTACAGTTTCAATCCGACAGTTTCACCATAGAATACATAGACTGATATATTATGAGTTTTTGGCTTGAAATTTAAAGCACAAAATTGTTATATTCATATGATGATTGAAATGTAAATTGTTGAAACGCTGTGTATAATATAAAGTTTGGATAAGTGTACCATATTAACTTACGATGACATGGTAATTTGGTGAACCGTTTTGGACAATAAAAGTAGGATGTTCTTTTTTGATATATTGTAAGAATTATTAGATATATTTGCAACATAATCTTAAAACCAAGAGAAACAAAAAGATATAAAGAGTTATACAAACACCACTAAGGATTGGTAAATTATTTGGGAGCCAGATTGAAACCATAGGAGTAGACAGTTACTGTGCAGAAAAACTTTCTAAAGTTTCAGTGTCATAAAGAAACAGATATTGGTGTTTATATTGTGATATACTCAAGGATCATAATGTTCTTCAACAACGTCACTCTAGTTCGTGTTATTTTCATGATTATTGTGATAATGAATACACTTACTAGCAGAATAATCAAAATGCCTCAAAATAGCGACATGACTTTTACAGAATTCCATAACGTACAGTATCAGAACAGTAAAATGATCTGGATTAAAGGTGGGAATAATGGAATTATCGGACTTTTTAATGAAACCCACCCTAACAATTATGTGTATGTAATAATTATAGGGGGTGGGGGAAACACGCGGACTGGAGCAAGACCGAGAGGTGACAACTTTGAAACTGTTACTTTCGATGGGTACTTTATGCTAGAGCCGGAACGGTTTAAACCATTCTGGTTGACATGGAGTGAAGTGTCACTAGACGTTGTATTCGGAGTCGGAAATCATATCGGTAGTGGACAGACAATCCGATTCAATAGGGATCCAACATTTACATTGAATATCCTATATACTGGAGCTGCAGTGTAGCAATGAAAACATACCCTAAATCAAATTGCTTTCAATATGTTACAGTTTTATGAATTTTTTTCGTGTAAGAAGACTACTGTACGGATATAAGCAAAATAAAGGGCTAATTGTAGAGAAATATGTTTCCTACTTATTCTCAAGGTTTCAATATATCCAGTCATAACCAAAACTTGTCAAACTGCTTAATTAACAATGAGTGCGCTCATCTTTTTATCCTTATAAAACAAATCCAGTTTGATCTAAACAGCATTTTAAAGAAATATTTCAGGTATAATTTATGACGTTTTCGATAATTAGAATTTTGCATACTGCCCCTTTGCGTTTATGGTAAAGTAGAGAACAAAGAAATCTGATTGGTTGATAATAATGATGTGATGACTAACCCTAGCTTGTTATCAGAAACATCTAATTGTTTTAATTCCCATAAAACGGGATTCGATCACAGTCCTTGGAGTTAGTAAAAATCGATCATTCTAACTACTCTGGGGAATCGACTCTACAATCAGGTTTGACAATAGCGTTTGCTTTTTGAAGGTCAATAGAGAGTATATTTTTTCCTTTTTCAATTAAGTAAATGTATACCTAAAGGGATTGTAAAGTTTTCTCAGCACCAATTTGCACCATTCCAATTTTCAGTCAGATCCTGTGGTTCCTGCAATTTCACAAAAAATAAGTGTTTGATCACAAACATGCTTTATCACACTTTGCGATTAGAAACGTGAATTGCAGGAACCACAGACGTCTGACTGAAAATTTGAATGGTACAATTTTAAATTTCCTGAGCAATTCACGAAACAGCTTAAGCCAGTTGTTAATTAACACAACCACACAAAAGGAACTCCCTCCAACCTTTCTGGATATCTTTCGTCTGCATTGCAAGTTCCCCATGCACATCTCACTACCAAAGAATGTCACATATACACGAGTTATTAAAAATTATTCTTTCATGACACAAGCTTTGTCGATTTGTTGTTTGTGGGTAAAACATGGCGACTGACAATTGTTCAATATTGAGCTGTCAATCATTCTCGAAGATTTGTGAATTAGAGTGGCACCCACTATGCCTCTTAGCGACTCCGTTTCTAAGATGGCTGGTCGCACTGGGACCAAATAGATGGAGTATGTTTTCTGTATATAGCAGCAGAAGAAACAAAATAGACAGTGCGTGGATACACGTTTGGTTCGTAATTAAAAAAAACTTTTCTTTCAAATCTTATAAAAATATAGTATAAGGTAAAATGAATGTACAGTTATTAATCATCTGGTGCT